TCGCGCTCGCCAGACGACATGTCTACTCCATCTCGATAGTTCCTGGAGGCTTGCTGGTGACTAGGGTTGTTAGTAGTTGCCTCGCTCAGATGAAATTTTGGACTTACTATCATATACCACGCGGCAAACGCCGTTCACCTCATTCACGATCCTCCTGCTAACCCGCTTTAGGAACTCTCCATCGAAGGGGAACCAATCAGCCGTCATGAAATCACTCGTCTCAACTGCCCTCAGAGCAATAACCTGCTCGTGAACGCGCTTATCACCCATGACACCGACGGCCCTAACGGGCATAAGCGCTGCAAACGCCTGGCTGATCTTGTTGTATAGGCCCGCAGCCCTGATCTCTTCGATAAAGATGTAGTCGGCTTCACGCGCAATACGGACTTGCTCGCGTGTGACTTCACCCAGAATGCGGATGGCGATACCTGGGCCGGGGAAGGGGTGGCGCCAAACAAGGTCCTCTGGAATACCAAGCTCTTTGCCCAGCGCGCGGACTTCATCCTTGAACAGCTCGCGAAGGGGCTCGATCACCTTGAGCTTCATGTCCTTTGGCAGACCACCGACGTTGTGGTGGGTCTTGATGGTTTGGGAAGGACCCTTGAAGGACAGCGACTCGATGACATCGGGATACAGGGTACCCTGAAGGAGCCACTCGACCTCACCTGCGTTGGAAGATTCATGCGCTTCGGCCTTGATCTTATCGGCTTGCTTTTGGAAGACCTCGATGAAGGTGTTTCCAATGATCTTGCGCTTCTTCTCGGGATCGTCTGTCACACCCTTCAGGCGGTCGAGGAAGAGGTCGGACGCGTCGACGACGGTGAGGTTGATACCCAGGCCCTCGTCGAGTGTCTTCTTGACCTGAACGGCCTCGTTGAGTCGGAGGACACCGTTGTCGACCATGACGGCGTGGAAGCGGTCGCCGATAGCCTCCTTCATCAGCTTTGCAGCGACAGTCGAATCGACTCCACCGCTAACGGCACCGATGACCTGTCCCTTGTCGCCCACCAGCTTCCTGATGCGTGTGATCTCCTGGTCGACGAATTTGCTCATGGTCCAGTTGGTGTTGGCCTCGCAAATGTCGACGGCGAAGTTCTTGAGCACAACCTTGCCCTGCTTGGTGTGTGTGACCTCGGGGTGGAATTGGATACCGTAGTACTTCTTCGTCTTGTGCGCAATGCCCGCGAACGGCGCATTGGTGGTTGTCGCGACCGTCATGAAGTCCTGAGGCATGTTGCTCAGCTTGTCGCCGTGGCTCATCCAGACCTCCAGGTCGTTGCCCAAGTCCTTGAACAGCTGGTCCATGTGTCCGCCGTGGCTCTCAACCTTCAAGTTGGCGTGACCGTATTCCCTCTTCTCGCCAGCTACTACGCCGGCGTTCTTTCCGAAGTGCCATGCCATCTCCTGCAGTCCGTAGCAGATTCCGAGGATGGGTACGCCGAGATCGAAGACGGCGTGGTCGACGTGTGGAGCGCCTTCCTCGTAGACGGAGTAGGGGCCACCAGAGAGAATGACTCCCTTGGGGGTGAAGGGCAGATCGGCGATCTTGGTAGTGCATGGCAGCATCTCACAGTAGACATTGAATTCGCGGAGACGGCGAGTGATCAGATGCGTGTACTGCGAGCCGAAGTCGAGCACCAGGATGGTGTCGAACGTCTTGTGGGGAGGGATCGGATCGGTGTGGTCGGTCGCCATCTTGAAGTACTAAGAGTGTGATGAAAGTGAAAAAGAGAGGGGATAGAAGGAAAGAAAGAAGAAGAAAGGAAAGGGACGGGTATATGAAAGCAGAAGGTACGAGGGGCTCGGTCACTGACTCTCACAAAGTTTTGGCGGGGTTTTCCAGAAAAATTCTTATCGATAACAGAAAAATGCTGTCTCGTGCTTGATCATCCATGGAAACGCGTAGGCAGCACAGACTGCCGCCTGTGCTCATATATCACTCTGATGTATACATTACCGAGAAATCGCGAGAAGAGGTCATACGAACCGCATTGTAGACGTCTAGCTTAAAATTTCCCCGCATGAGGTACAACTCAGGTGACGCAAGCATCCTTGTATAACCACTCTACGCGTATCGAAGAAGTCTCCAATTAGTTGATCATCGCATGAGCCGTAGTAGGAGTGCATGACAGCCTTGGAAGCGGAATGGCTCTGTGGCTGACCGTGCTTGTCCTGGGCCCCGCCCAAAATTTCATTTATCGATAACGGCGTAGTTGGATCGCGCAAAGTCGCGTCTATCCAGTGACCTCACCCACCCAGCTCCCTACCAATCGCATACCCACACAATGGCGAAACGAAAGTCAGAGAGAGATCCCGAAGAGTTGCCCGATGCGTCGGACAAGCGCAAGCAGAACGATGACGACGAGTCCGGCAGCGACGAGGTATGCGCCTTCCTCACAACCTCTCATAATGCGCCGTCTCACAAAATTGATAGGACATGGACATGGTGAACGTTGACTTCGAATGGTTCGATCCGCAACCCGCAGTCGATTTCCACGGGCTCAAGAACCTCTTGCGCCAACTTCTAGACGTGGATTCGCAATTGTTCAATCTCTCTGAACTCGCCGACATTATACTGTCGCAACCGCTACTTGGCAGTACGGTCAAGGTTGACGGCAATGAGACGGATCCATATGCGTTTCTTACTGTGTTGAACCTGGAGACACACAAGGTACTATATCTTTATTCAAAAGCTTAGGACATGCGCATACTAACAGCACCCAGGACAAGAAAGTGATCCAAGACCTGACAACCTACCTCTCCAAAAAGTCCGCGCCGATCCCCACTCTCCCGCCCCTCCTAACACCGGTGTCGCCTGCGCAAATCGGCCTCATTCTGACCGAGCGCTTCATAAACATGCCGCACGAAATCGTCCCACCAATGTACACGATGCTTCTGGAAGAAATACAATGGGCGGTTGAGGAGAAGGAGCCTTACACATTCACCCACTACCTCGTCCTGTCGAAATGCTACTCGGAGATACAGAGTCAATTGCCGAGTGAAGATGCGCCACCGAGCAAGAAGAAGAACAAGAAGGCCGATGTGGGTGAGGAGACGTTTTATTTCCATCCCGAGGACGAGGTGCTGCACAAGCATGCGGTGGGATACACAAGCTTTGAGTATGACACACCCGTAGATGAGGGTGCGAGTGATAGCAAGAGGGCGTTCCAGGAGTTGGGTGTCAAGCCCAAGGGACATATGGTGCTGATCGAGGCGGACAAGTTCAAGGGTGCTGTGGAGGCTGTCAAGACGTTCTTGAATGGGCAGTAAATACGCAATGCAAGATGAATTCCCCAAATAATGCAACCAAAGAGACAGCGAAGGTTGACTCTAACTGGTGTTACATTGCAAGGGACACAAGCCGAATCTATGTGAATCAAACCGTAGGAAATTGATGCTCGCTCCTATACACACAAGTCGACATCACCGTCATCCACCTCCGCTCAAGAATTGCTCTGCTTAACCAATGACAACCTTGCCATCCTCGGGGAAGTCGTATGCGGGAATCTCCAGGTTGAGCGGGGCAGGTCCCTTTCTTATGCGGCCAGAGATATCGTAGTGGGATCCGTGGCAGGGGCAGAACCAGCCTCCAAAGTCACCGGCCTCACCGATGGGAACACATCCCAGATGGGTGCAGACACCTAGTGCTGTTAGTCCTGGTTCATTGTAAGGATGTGTGCGGTGACGTACCCAACATGATCAACCACTCAGGCTTCTGGACACGGTCGGAGTCGGGCTGGGGGTCACGGAGAGACTGCCACTTGGTGTCGTCGGCCTCCTTGATCTCGCCTTCGGTGCGGTGACGGATGAAGACGGGCTTGCCTCGCCACTTGATAATGACCTGCGCTTATCAGCTCCACTGTCCGGATATGCCATGTCGGATTGCGAAACGTACGTTCTTGCCCTCGGGGATGGCGGCGAGGTCGATTTCTACCTTGGCCTGGGCCAAAACATCGGCGGACGCGGACATGTTGACGAGGAAGTCTGTTGGGCGGAGTCGTTAGCCGTCCGGTCTTCATCAATTCGCGATCCAAATCATCCCCAAAATAGCCAATTGCTCTTCCCCAGCTCCAAATGTGCCATATCCCTTGTTTCCAACGTTTTCCACCCCTCCGTCGAGCTATCGCAATGTTGCAGACCTACCCTGTACAGTCGCCTTCGCGCCAAGCGCACTCAGCGCACCCATGGTTCCGACCATGAAGTACTGGAAGACCTTGGGGCCGGTCTCGCCTCCCTTATTCCTGTATGCGGCGAACGAGGGGATCTTGGTCGAGTCCGGGCTGCCCTTGAAGGGGCTGTCGAACGAGGAAGCCGAGGCGTTGCGGGTCTGCAGAGCGGTGCAGCCGGCCGCCCGAGCGACGGGCATCTGGTGAGCGGTCCATGAGCGTGCAATGGCACGGGTTGTGTTGGCGAGGGCGGGCATCGTGGACGCGGGTGGGCGGGGGTCGGTGTCGTTGATGGGGAGGAGCTTAGGTCGGGAATGTTGAAGTTTTGGCGGTTTGGCAAGGAGCGTTATGTCAGGTGTCGTGTGATTGGCCCATCGCCCTTCCGCGCGACCTTCGCCAGATTTGAGCGTCATGGGCGGGCATTACCACGAGAGCTATACACAGTGATATTCAATTTCGGATTCATTCCATTTGTTAGACAGTTCGCAGACTTGTACTTAAAACGTGGATAATTGTTGCAAAAGAGAACTCGAGCGTCTCGTGAGCGCCCCAGGTGGTAAGATCGCAGCATTTATACTGGGTTATCGAACCATCCAGTCTTCCTTCCTCGTTCACCCAAATAATGCACGATAGTAGTGAAGACAGCAAGCGCTCTGGGTAAGCACCCTTGTTTGAATGTCTTGGCGACTGCCTGATTCCATGTGTGCCGCACGCAGCGTATCTCTCTTCGGACACGCGAAAGTCGTCTGGAAACAGCTGCTCCTCTCTCACTTCATTGTTGAATCCACTTTGTATCACTACAAGTAACCTCTCACAAACAATAAAACACACATCATGCCCCCCAAAGACTCTACCATCACACCCTACTTTGGCCCTAAGATGGAATCTCGCGCCCCAACAAAAGCCAAGGAAGCCACCAAGAGGACGACCGGAAAAGTGACCATGACACCATCGCCTGAGCCACAAAATAAAGATAAAGGCAAAGGCAAGAGGACGCTATCAGGATCTCCGGCACCAATACCTGAGAAGCGACGAGACATAAAGCCGGCAGCCAAGCCCACAACATCGCGCCATCTCTCACACAAAGATGTCCCCTCGAACAAGCTCTCCCCATCCCCAAGCTCGTCTGATCTACCTACCCTGACTCTCACTTACCACGCTGGCGACATCTTCGACGCACCCCCACAAACCCTTCTAATCCACGCCTGTAACACTCAAGGTGTATGGGGATCAGGCATAGCCAAAGCCTTCAAAGACGACTATCCAAAAGCTCATGTCATCTACAGAGACTTCTGCACCAAAGAACACCTACTCAAATCCAGACCGGTACCCACCGGCACCGCCTTGCTTATCCCACCTGTGGATGTCGGGAAGCGGCATTGGATCGGGTGTCTGTTCACTAGTGCAAAGTATGGTAAGGGTAAGGATAAGTCGGATGTTATTGTCGAGAACACGAAGCCTGCTATGGAAATGCTGTTTGAGCTGGTGAAAATGGTGGGTACGGTTGAAACGGTCAGGATGTGCAAGATCAACAGTGGAGCATTCGGGGTGAAATGGGAGAGGACGGAAGGCGAGCTGGAAGGCATTGTAGTTAGGGAGGGGTGGATGGGGAGTGTGGAGGTTTGGGAACCGGAGATGGGTTAAAAGACTAAAGGGAGCACGAAGTATGTGCATGTGATGCAAATTGATCCGCGTCAAATGTCTACTCGAGGAAAGTTCAGTGTGGACAATCACTTGTACATTTGGCACTATCCTGGTTCAATCGCATACCTATAGGCAATGAAGCCGTGATGCGACCGACCTTCCAAACAGCTGAGCCCCATTCCCATGATATATCTAGCAAACGCCGTTATGCAATGCAAAATGAATCGGCTTCCGTACCGTTCTGTCTCTGCCTACAACATCAAGAGCCGATTCACTTTTGACCATTGATCGCAGTAAATCCACCTGTTGACCGCCTAGCCTCTGGGCTCTTGCTTGCACTCGCAGTGGGTTGGCGAGGGGGCCCGCGCATCTCCATCTCGATCTGCATCGCCGCTGCGTCCTCTTCTGGTTCGCTGTCCTCCACGCGCTCGACCTCTTGGTCGACATCCATGGCATCGGGCGTCTCGTCTGGTATGGCTGGTGTAGGCGAGATTGTCGAAGCGCCGTTGGTGGGTGTCTCTGTGTCCTTGTCCGCACCCTCTGCCGTCTTGGAAGCACCGTCCAGCGTCTTCTGTCCGTTGACCGCGCCATCCTTCTTCCCGTCCTTCTCCTTCTTCTTCGCGTCCTCCTTCTCCTTCTCATCCAACTTCTTCTTCACAGTGCCCCATGTACTTGTCCTGGGCGCAACATCAACCAAGAACTCGAGGTTGTCTGTCTTAGATATCGCGCTGCTCACGTCGCGGTATTGTATGTTGCGGCGCGGCTTACGCTCCGCTTTGACGACATTGTGTGTGGTGGTTGCGAGGTGCTGGATGAACATTTCTGTGGCCAGTGCGATGGCGAAGGCGGCATTTTTGGAGGTCGTGATGCGTTCGGGGTCCGCTTGGATTATCTTTTGCACGCGTGCGACTGTGGAGTGAGTTAGCTTGATTGTCTGCTGCGAGGAAAGACGAGAGTACTGGGGACGTGGGGAATTGAAGACATTGCGCTCAACGCAAGCGGAGCCGAACCAGTCGGTCGTTATGAGGCCACCACAGGCGCAAGTCGCAGCAGTACTACACCGTGGTAGGGTGGTCTCTAAGAGGCACGCAAAGGGTCGGAGTGACGACGAAGGTGGTGGAGAGAAGTGAAGATGTGTAAATTGTTACTTACGAGGAAGCGACACATGGCCGGTGATTTCCTTATTTGGCGCAATCGGAGTGTTGTTGTAGGGCATGGTGAAGGAAGAAGTTGTTGCTCTGGTGAAATGGGCGCTGGATCGATGAGTCCTCCCAGCGTGCTGTTCGAGGCTAGTTGCGTGTCCAAAATATGAATAGCCAAGTATATCTGTGGGTAGTGCGAGTTGACACGTTCCAGTCGCGAAAGTTGGCCAAGAGAGATGTGTAGTCGCGTGCAGTAGTCGTGTTGAAGATGTCGTGTACCCTGGTCGATGCAGGGCGATCGCCGCGGGCTGCTCCAGCCGAGGAGGGCGTCATTAGGCTGCTCCTCTTCGTCAGCAACCAGCCATCTTATCTTCCTGCTGCCTGCGTGATCCTCAGACGATAAATACGTGTGCGTGATATCTTCGTCCTGTCTTGACTCCATCAATTGTATTCCCGTGTTTTCATCTCGTGTCGAGCACCAATTGTCAGCCCATCAGGGTACACCTGCCAACCATGAAGCTCTTCATTACTAGTCTGCTCGCCGCGACTGCAACAGCGTCCTTGTTCTCCCAAATCCCGTTCCAGGAGAAACCAGAAGTGGAAGGCTTCCAGGTCTACCAAAGTCCATTCTCCGAGCACCATTCAATTCGCATAAAGCATCAACAGAGCGACACCATCTGTGACGCGCGCTCCAAGCAACACACCGGCTGGTTAGACATCGGCTCAAAGCACATCTTCTTCTGGTACTTCGAATCACAGGACAAACCCTCCGAAGATCCGCTCCTGCTATGGCTAACAGGAGGACCGGGTGGCTCAGGCATGCTTGGGCTGATGGGCGAACTGGGACCTTGCACGATCAATGAGTTTGGGAACGGTACCGTACACAACGAATACGGATGGAGCAAGAATGCCAACATCATCTTTGTTGATCAGCCCGCTGGTGTGGGTTTCAGCTACGTCGATGAGGGCATCCCGCTTCCTGCGACAAGCTTCACGGCTGCTGAGGACATGCATCACTTCTTGCAGCTGTTCACGAGCGAGGTCTTCCCGGATCTTTTGAATCGCGACTTTCATATCACAGGAGAAAGTTATGCTGTAAGCACATGTTGCTAACCCCGCAAGACACTCACTAATCGAAGATAGGGCCACTACGTTCCAACACTCGGCGCAGAAATTGTCACAAAGAACCTTGAATATCCTAAGCGTCCGCAAGTGAATCTCAAGTCGACCTTCACGGGCAACGCTTTTGTCTCACCTCGGGACACCAACTTTGGTTTCTGGGAAACGCTGTGCACTACGAACCCCGGTGTGGAGATTCCCGTATTCAACCAGACCCGTTGCGACATCATAGCTACCAACCTCCCTCGTTGTATGGCGCTTATCGACGTGTGCTACAAGAACCCCGATCCAGCCATCTGTCTCGCAGCCGACAACGTATGCATGGAAGGCGTTGTGCTCCTTTACGATGGAGAGTCTGGAGCAGGAGGTCGCAACCGATTTGATATCACGGATGGGTGCGAGACGAAAGACGAGTTCTGCTACCCAGAGATCCAAAGGATACAAGACTACATGAACGTGCCGAAGGTTTGGGAAGCGCTTGGCGTACCCAAAGCTATAGCCAACTATACAGGGTTCTCTTTTGATATTGCGTTGGCTTTTGAGCTTACTGGGGATCTGGTATTCAGCATGCAGCCTCAGGTTTTGTATCTTCTCGAGCATGGCATCGACGTGCTCTTCTACCAGGGTAATTTGGACCTTGCTTGCAACACCGCAGGGAACTTGCAGTGGGCTAGCACCATGCAGTGGAAAGGCCAACCTGCATTTGTCGCACAGCCAAAGAGGTCCTGGGAACATGAGGGCAAGGAGGTGGGGTGGTTTAAAGAAGTCAAGACCGTGACTACAAGCGGTAGAGATACCACATTTGCGTTCGCTACGGTGAATGGAGCAGGCCATCTGGTACCGATGGACAAGCCGAAGGAAGCGCTGGCGCTTGTTGATAGATGGATCACAAAGAGGAGCTACGCGTAATTGTCGCGTGATGGATACATATTGTGTTTTGCGCAAGGCCGCACTTAGCCCAGCAAAGGATTCCGCGATCGCAATATCTAGGTATGCAATTTTCGTCAGCCCCAGTACCACATCGGCTTCATGCATGTCATCAGGCTTCTTGCGTTTGGCGCCCGAAATATCCATGGGTTGGTGTTTGTTTTCCCCACCATGATGTAATTGCTACCAGCTACGTCATCATGGGTCCTAGCCTATGCGCAAACTTCAGACCCTTAATAAAGAGGGGAGAAGACACACTCATCCAACAACAAACACAATCAATTGCCACTTCTCACTTCAAACTACACTTTACAAACCTTCCACTTCTTCCCACTTCCACCAACACACATATACAACATGTCTGGAACTTCCAACGTCGGTAACAGTGCGGTCTACGAGGCCCAGGACCAGGTCACCAGGTCCAACGCCGAGATCGAGCAGGAGAAGAAGGAGGCCCGCTTCCACGAGGGCAAGGAGCACTCTCACAAGGCCCAGGACTCCAGTATGTTTCTCTCGGCCTCGCGTGTATTTTCCTCTGTCGACATGCCGCGTCATCAGCCATCTCTTTACAAGACCGTTCACTAACAATCACCCGCAGAGGACGAGCGATCCATCGCCAACAAGCTCGAGCGCGAGGAGAAGCGTGAGAAGGAGGGCGAGGAGAAGTCTCTCGAGGACCGCCAGCGCGAGCAAGATGCCACCCTTCCCGCACGCGCACACGGCAACGAGCCCTCCAAGGGAGCCAAGATCGACCAGGAGCTGAGGGAAGAGGACGAGGCTATGCTCAAGAAGAAGGGCGCCAACTAAAGTCGTTGTGATGAATGACGATTTCGATACCCCGCACACATACTCAGCGTGTTAGGAGTTGGAGGAGGAAAATAATGACTTGGATTGACGATAAAACGTCTCCATGAAGCCCGCCTGAGACATGGCAAAGGCATGAATCAAATAATTTCAACTGAACATGTATTGCCAACAGTGTGTGACTGTGAGAAGGTTGGAGCCAGGTCCTCGTGCCTTGACGCGAGAGTTCTCCACATTGTCGTGCTTACCCCTCGGTGCCTGACTCGTGCAGCCTCGGAGATACGCCGATAGCGACCTCCTAACCGCTGCCTTCTGTCTCCAAATCCCCAATCGCCTCCCCCGCGTCCTGCAAACATCAGTTGCTGCATTACAAAGCATTGCGGTGTACATGCCTAATCTCTCGTCATCTCGCCAATTCCTCCGCACTGCTACTGCCTTCGCCAAAGCTCCCTTACGGCCCCGCCTCGCACCTACAAGCACCCAGCTATCGAACATCCTCCAACAACATACCGCAAACATGTCGACAAAGATGGCAGAGCGCCTAAAGGGCAAGACTATCGTCATCACCGGTGCTTCTTCTGGCATTGGCAAATCCACAGCAATCGAATTCGCCCGGACACAGCCCGACGACCTCAAGCTTATCCTCACTGCGCGGCGAGAAGACACATTGAAAGAGGTCGCTCAGGAAATTCAAGGCTTTGCAAAAGGCGTCAAGGTTCTACCAGTCAAACTTGACGTCAGCAAGCCGGACGAAGTCCAGAACTTTGTCGGAAATCTGCCACAAGATTACAAGGACATTGATGTGCTCGTCAACAACGCGTATGCCACCACCTCTTCAAATGCCGCTTACTGTCTGCTAACAATGAATCTAGCGGCCTTGTAAAAGGTGTTGCGCAAGCTCCCGACATCTCACCCGCCGACATCGACACCATGTTCAGCACAAACGTGACCGGCCTAATCAACATGACGCAAGCCATCCTACCCATCTTCAAAGCGCGATCCACACCCTCCGGCGACATTATAAACATTGGTAGTATCGCAGGTCGCGAGCCCTACCAAGGCGGATCCATCTACTGCGCTACAAAGGCTGCTGTGCGCTCCTTCACAGATGCCATGCGCAAGGAGCTTATCGCTACACGGATACGCGTCATCGAGATTGATCCTGGACAAGTTGAGACAGAATTCAGTGTAGTCAGGTTTGGAGGCGACAAAGAGAAGGCGAAGAAGGTCTACGAGGGCGTTGAACCGCTTACACCGGAGGACATCGCGGAGGTTGTGGTCTTCGCTGCGGGACGGAGGGAGAATGTGGTGTTGGCTGATAGTCTGATCTTCCCGAACCACCAGGTATGTGCAACCGGAGGAACGAGACATAGTACACTAACGTTGTATAGGCGGCAGCGACAGTCATGCACCGGAAACCTACCGGTCAGTAGATGCGGCGATCGATGTGTACATAGCGACTACTTATCCGCAGTTCAGAGACGAAGCAAATATCCAGAATTCGACCTTCGTTATGAAAGACCTGTTTGCTGGCCACGACCTACCTCATGTTTCATGCTTGCGACTCCATCTCATCCCGTCTCCTCACAATGTCTCTCCCTTCTTAATTCTTGTCTCCACATTCACGCGGACTGTCTTCGAAACAGGTGAAAGAGGAAAATATAGCTTGGGCCCTGCCCCGCCGTTGCTGTGGTGAGCGCTGGCAAAAGAGAGACCCGCTTCTGGATAACTCAAACGCTCACACAGTTTTTGTACACACCGACCCCATTTGTACCCCACTATAGTGGTGAGCGACCACGCCTTTCGTCCCACATCATCTCGACACTCAACTCAAGTAGCTGGCCATCATGCAAGCCGCGCGCGTTTGAGCGCCAGGTTTTCTACCACCACGGACGGAAGCACAGCAGTCAACCGACAGACGACATGGCGCGACTACGAGTTCCCGCATCGCCAGTTGAAACTCGTCGCGCGAATTATGCCTATGAAGGAGCCGGAAACAAGACGCCCAGCCGACCTAATCATTCAGGCCCACAGCCTGAGATCAATGTAGCCTTCGATTCGTCTGCCAATGATCCCCCTGAACATCCCACTTCCTTTCCGCGCATTGTAAGGAGCTTCGCGTTAATGGACGTGAAGACAAAGCGATATGTACAAGGTTACATTGTCGGACAGTACAAGGCCATTAAGCAAATGGGCCACGAGCACATCACCGCGACTGGCACCAAAACAGTCTTCTTCCTTGGTCAAGCACAACAAGAGGAAGAGTTCGACATATTAGACGAGGATATGAAGACCGACCTGGGCGAGTACATCAACGAGGATGAGGATGCGGATCGCTCATGGCGTGGGGTTTGCGACTTCATGCAGAAAATTCCGACCTCCAAGGCTGTGGCGCCGACAGAGTTCAAGGATAAGAACATTTTGGACACTGAGACACCTCATCAAGCCCGCTTGATGCGTGCCCAGAGTGCGCCCTCTCTGGCTCGATGTATCGCGAATGCTAGCTTTGACAGCGCCGGATCAGAGACAGACTCTGACTCAGAAGACGACGACATCGATCTTGAACTGAAAATCGAGAACGCACTCTCGTCCTTTGCTAAAAAGGTCGAGGAATTAGAGGATGTAGCAGGAGCGCTGTCAATCACGCCACCCGGCCGCACATATTCTGAAGCTCACCCATTTACACCATCGCCTCCCAAGGACATCGATATACCATACCCCTGTGGACCAAAGCACAACTCTCGACTTCGTCGTCATAGCGGTAACCGTTCACTCGCATCACTGATCGCTCACGTTGAGGATCACCGTACGCCTTCGTGCTCGTCACTTTCTGCTTCGCTTTCTTCGTGCCCACTACCTGCAGGTACCACCTACAGTGTTATCCGTAAGCCCTGCTACGACCCAAACTTTGAGGGTCACAGCCCTTGCGCCACGCATGATGAGGGAAGCTGCGGACTTTCAGCTGATGACGCTCTGGACATGCTACAAGAACGCTTTGGAATTGTACATTGCGCTACTGTTGGCACCGGCTTTGATTGTCGCGAATGGCTGGAATACAAGCTTGAGACCGGGTGCAGCATGGTACATGGCCCGTCGTTGCTACGATTTGGGACGAACTGTTATGGACCTGAAAAGCCCGGGCAGAGCAAAGACGCGGGTGATAGCCCGTACGCTAATCAACCCGAAGCTACGGCTCGGATTCGCACTTCGTCTTCTAACGATACCCTGAATACCAAATCGTCCGTCCAAAATTCAGTGTTCTCAAAATGCACTTCGAGGACTTCCATTTCGTCTTACCGGACCAACCGTCCACAGTCTGCACGAACTGAACATTCTCGGCTTATGAGCGCACTTGGCCCAGACAACGATACTGGAAAGTGCGGACATGGCTATGAAATCTCTGCAAAGACAGGGAGCAATTCTTCTGTCGCAGGTATTGTTCCAAAAAGCGAACACTTTCAAGGTTGTGCAGGTGGCACTGTGCGGGGTGGGAAGGTTGCACTCGATCCACCTATCACCACTACCAAAGAATGGTCTAGTGGGCTGCAGACGTGGGAGGGTGAAAGCTGGCCCAACGCACCCGAGCGCATTGGAAACGACTTTGAAGACGCCCAGAACTCTATCACGAGGAATGAATCCGAGGACTGCGACGTAGAAGAGCTCTCACAGCTACGTGCGTCGCTGACGGAAACTACGGACAATGACGAACCCATGTGGCCTGAAGTCATCGCCAACCGCCCGTATACGGCTCCGCTTATGTACGAGGAAGCCGCCGATTTTATTGAACATGTCGCCACTAATCCGGATGTTGATTCCGAATGTTGGTCAGAACCCTTGGATGGTTGCGCGAAACCGCGTCGCAAGTGGACTAGCAAGATGAAGCATTGTCTCAAGAAAATACCCCAAAACACAAAGCAGGCTACCCACGACTATGTCAAAGCGACGAAACGATTCTCACGGACTGCTTGGCGCGTGTTGCCAGCTGCGCTGTCGAGCCGACATCCGTTCCAGAAGATCGACAGCATCCTCTAGATGGTCGGCTGGGGAACTGGATCTGCGTCGGAACTCTTTAGGTGATCCGACTGGTCTCACGGACCGTTCACGCTGCCTCCGCAATCCACCCAGAACGATGGTTCGGCGAGCGTTTGGGCCCACTTCAGACCGAACATATGTTGGGGACATGGTAGATGCGTTGGAATTGATTGGAAAGCCCCTGTGAAACGCTTTTCATTGGACGACACAGACATATTTTGTAGAGCATCTTTGCTTTTACTTGAATTCTCTTTTGGCGCGCTATGAAACCTCGATTCTAGATACCCACCTGCATGCATCAGTAGCATTTCCTGTATGAATATAAGCCCTGCCATGTGCCCTCATTGCACTTCAAGCATTTTGTGTGAATTCCAAAGTGTGGTCGTGAATGACTAAGTCCACGAGGAGTGAACCCTGGTTTGATCAAGGGTCATCCACTGTCGCGACGTCACCACACAACGCTCTCACTTGCCAAAATGTCTTCGGTTTCTCATTCTTTACACATTTCACTAATTAGCCCGCTCGTTGTTTCCCTCTTTACGAACGACTGCGCATCGACCACCACCGCGCACATTTCCAACGCCAAGACTGTGTAAGAAAGCGGACTCTCACCATCGCACACCCACGAACAAATTTGCAACTGTCTAGTTTACGTCACTCTTTCCATCACATTATCGCGTAGTTCCAAACGCACTGCGATCTCGCCGGCCATTACTGAACTCGATCCGACAACGACCCTTCGGTTACCACTTACGATCACCAAACCAAAACAGTCACACAAGCAATCATGGCTTCCGACACAGTCACTAGTGTCAACCAGAAATTCAACTGGGCCGACGACGACGAGGACGAATTTGACTTGGATAGCTGGAATGCTACCGTCGACACCTCCGCGCCCACTGCCGCCGAGCTAGGCCCTCTCCAAGTCGCTCCCACTGGAGATGACACGAAGGAAGGCGAAGTCTACACGCTATCCCGCATCTCCAACGAGCGCGCCTATTTGGATCCTCCCGCCATCCAGGAGTCGTCAGACGCGGAGCCTACCCCGGAGGCAGAGGCAGAGCCAGTTGTTGAGCCGCCAGCTGAGCACTGGCATATCGCCGTACTTGGCTGCAGTCCAGAACATCAGGTCATGTCTGCGCGGTACAATCTTATCACGCACGCTATTGGTCCTTCCTATGAAGGTAAAGAAGAGTCCGACGTCCCAGCCTATCCAGAATTGAGTGAGTACCCGGGCCACCGGTCTTACTATGCGAGAGGGTTCCGGGACTGGAAGATGAAACATAGAGGTTTCTCGTCTAGAAGGGTCTATCGTAACTCACCCTTGAACATCGTCACTTCCATCGACAATGCGCACGAGATCGATGACATTGTCGACCCCGAAGAAGGGGCGGTAGAAGACGCCGATCGCGAGATGAACGAGGAGATTGATCGCATGATTGATGATCAAATCACCAACCATATTGATCAGTTCCAGTGGTTCTCCAGGACAGAACTTGAGAACTTTTACCACCAGTTCAAGGCTCAGGAGCAGAAAGCTGAGACTGGAGACGACGTGTCAGATGATGATGATAGCGATTCGGACGACGGCTGGGATGAAGAGGCTTACGAGCAACACAACGGTCCTGTTCACGACGAAGAGATGTCGCCGACAACCACTGCATCAGTGGAGGACAACGAAACAACGTTCGCGATTGCCCGCCCATACGCCGACAAAGAAGAGGAGCTGGACTTCAACGACGTCGTATTTGGAGACGATGACGGGTGTGATCAGTCGCAGAGTCAGGATGAAACCGACTCTGAGCCCAGCGATGAGGGCTATGTTTCCTCTTCACCACCAGACACTCCCTTTTTCGAAACCTTCAATCAAGCGGACAGCGTAGGGGCGCAAAACGCCTTCAATTCCATCAATGCACGACTAAGTTTGTCATCCAGGCGCCGTAAGACGATTTGTCGGACGGAATCCATGGACGCGCTCAACACATTTAGGCAAACTGCCAAGTTTGAGCAGCGTGTCGAGGACGCTTTTGAAGACGATGAAGACGACGAGGACTTTGGAGATCAACAAGAAAACTTCGGCATCGATAATGAGCTGGATACATCATCGGATGTCATGGAGAACACAGAGTTTGTCCTCGTCATTACACCACCCGAGGATGAGCAAAGCACGCAAGACTATCTTTCCAGCCCTGCGACACCTTTATCTTCAACAAGAGCCACTGTATCCGATTCGACTGAAGAGGATGACCAAGTAATTTCTGTCAAAGACGAATCACGCGGTACCCTCAATTCAGCCTTCACCTTCCCTAGCATACCCGCTGGTGAAGCCTCCCTCCCAAAGGAAGAGATTAGTACCGCAGACACGGTAACCAATACTTCCAAAACCTTCTCCCGGCGCTGGACCGATCCTCCAAAATACGACCCCACCCTTCCTTCAATTTCGCCATTGTCCAGTCGTCGGCATACGAAGCATGCAAAGCATAGCTCTGTCTCGCTGGACTATCTTGTCGGCGCCGTCTCAAAGAGCTGGCTCTACGTGGGCCAAGTGCCCTGGACGCAGATTGGTATAATGGGCGCTGGAGTAGTCGCCGGTGGATTATTAAGTATGGCGGGGCGTACCTGAGTGAGCCCGCTTTTCCTTTCTGTTTGTTCTTTTCTTTTCTCAAAATTTGGCTGCAACGTTAGCGGAGGCGAAGTCATGCTGGCATTGCTGGTGGCGTTATATACCCGGTGTGCTGTTCACCCACACAAAATATGTGTCTCAAAAAGTATAAAAGTTAAACATTAATCAAGAAACGTTATCACTGTACTACGAATCCACCAAACCGTGTGACCGCTCCGACGATATCACCATATGCAAGTACAGATGAGACAGTACAAGTTCAACTCTCGAGGCACAATCAATATCTTCAACAAAGCGAATGTCATTTGAGAGCTGCTGTATCTACATCTGACTCACCGCCTTCAGAGCGACTACCCAGACATCTCAAGCATTACAAGCAAGCTTCCTCCTTGCTTAAACAGGATGAGCGACCTTGGCCGTCAACAGGCCCCTGATGTTTCCAACAAAGAAGCTCAAAATGAAACAAGCACCACCGAAAGCGATCGAGATCCAGTATGGCCACCTGTACGCCAATGCGAAAGCTTCTTGGGAAGCACGCAGGACAACAGGGAATGCATCTCTCTGCAGCACTTCCTGGTTGGTAGCAAAGATCTCTTTGACTTCTTCGAACCTAGCATTACCCATGAGGTTGGTAACCAGGGTGATGACGGCGATTCCGTCTGCCGACAGAGGGTTGATGATGGCGCCATACGCTAATGTCTTCTCCGCGACAATCTCAGTGAGGTGGATGGTGACCTTGCGGAAGAAGAGATTGGAGTAGACTGCGAAACCAATCGCACCACCGAGGTAGCGGATACTGAGTGTGATGGCTGTAATGGTTGCGATTTGTTCGTCCGGACAGGCGATCTGCGCGATGATGGAGGAAGGAATAATGACCCCGCCGACTCCAATGGATGCTAGTGAGATGAGGGCGTACACTACGTTCAGGTTGTCGGGTGTCGCAATGCACATGGCCCCTGTGCCGGCTGTCATCATGGCTGTGAAGAAGATCATCAATTCGCGGATGCGACCCTTGGTGGCGGGGATGAGGACGAGGCAGATGCATGCACCGCCAATGATGCCGAAGCCGATGGGAAGAGAGCGGATTCCGACGCCAACCGGGTCATCACCTAGACTTATATTAGTATGGAAGTAGTGGGGAAAATATTCGTAGGCCATGCTTACCGTAGACGTTGTAGATTTGAGTAGGCCAGAAGAGCAGCAGGACGAAGTAGTTGCCACCACTGAGGAATGTGATGAGAAGGATAACTATCATGGTCTGCTTCGCTTTGTGGAATATTGCCCTGGGAACCATGGGGTGTGGAGCATACACCTCCCATACGAAGAAGGCGATGATGAGAATGATACCGAGAACGAGAGGGACGATGTTGTGTGGGCTGCCCCATTCATACTGTAGAATGTCAGCACTGCAATGTGACCTGCTTCGGATAGTATACTGACCTGTGATGCACCCCATTGTAGACCCATCATAAAGAGAGTGATACCACATGTGCTCAAGATGCCACCAATGTAGTCGACCTGGCGGAGGACATGACGGGCGGTATACTCTTCTGTCAAGCGCGACGGGTCCTTGTAGCAGAAGACACAGAGTACCAACCCGATGAAGTTCCATACACAAACCAAAATACCATTGTAGCGCCAGTTGCTCTGTTGAGCGATCAATTGAGCCCACAACACTGATGGGCAGAAGGGAAGGATGGTGATTACGACAAGACCGACGTACTTGCCGCGATCTTTGATGGGCACGATCTCTGCTGTGCCGGCGAGTGCGATGAGCTCATTGAGACCGGCACCAATTCCCGAGAAGACCTGACCGGCTACGAGTCGTTAGGTTTGTGATGTTTCAAATAAGGTTGCGGTACTTACCGATAGCGATGTTCATGGTATGCGCAGTCACTGTGATAATCGGCCCGACTATGAGGCACAATTGACCCACAATAGCCACCTTCTGTCGCCCAAACAGGTCGGACAATGCGCCCACAAAAGGACAGAGAGCCGCATTGGGGATGAGGTATCCTATTATGAACCAGATGTATCGGTCAACCCCACCAACATCCTGATAGATGAGAGGAAGGACAGAGCCGAAGAGGAAGAGCGGGATTTGAGAGCCGATCCAGAGGAATGACATGCACAGAAGCGTCATGGCCAGCCTTGCGTTCATCTAGGGGTGAATTAGTATATGATCAAGCATTCAGGGTCTTACACTCACCTTCTCGTGGACTTCTGGAGCTCTGCTGGTAATGGGCGCCAACTGCTGCTTCTCGGGCTCGCTAGGCGGGGTGCGAGTAGCCACCATCTCGAGTTGGCTCTGGCCATTCTTGTCGACTTCGTAAGAGTGGTCTCCGGATCTCATTGTCTCATGCATCTTGACGGTGCA